TGTGTGTGTGTGTGTGTGCGTGTGTGCGTGTGTGCATGTGTGCACATGTGTGCGCGCGCGTTTCTGTGCCAGTGTGTTTGTGTGCGTATGAGCGTGCATTTTTGTGGGGTATGAGACCGAAAACGAAAAGCTGTTCTGTCCCGTCGTGGCATAGGCCTTACGTAGTACTTTGAACGATAAATGCTATGATAAAAAACGCAAAACTATTTTTTTGATTCCATAAGTATAGAATAGCCATGGATTATTGTTTTGTAAATGGATTTAACATCGTCAGTTGATCTCTCCATACGGCCCAGGCAGTCCTACCAGGAAACCGATCTAACCTGAAGCGAGCCTTTAAACATGCACTGAAATGTGATATCCTTTGGTTTACATTATAGTAAATTGCAATCTCTAGCGTAACAATGAATGATAAAACCGTCGCATTGACAAGTCACTGTGTGTGATTTTTCAAAATGGTACTCGTGTTTTGATGATCTATTGTGTTTTTTTTTTTTTTTTAACTATTTTTACGTGGCGCTTTTGATGCACTGATGTCACTTCTTTCCACGTATGCATAAATTTATGCGTCGTTCGGACATCCCGTATCGGTCGTTTTGGTCCGAAAGCAGAGCACAAAACATCGAAACGGTCCCTTCCCGTCCGACATCAGCTGAAACTTTATCTGTGATTCTGTGTTCACCCCCCCCCCTCCCCCCACCCCACATCCCGCTCCCCCCACTCCTCATCCTCATCCGCTCGGGCATTGTTCATATCTTTTTGTTATTGTTTGTAGAAACTTTAATTTCAAGGCAAGCACAAGGCACGCGTAGTTTTTCCTTTGCGTGTATGGCCAGCTGGTGCTTTGTTTACCCCATTGACTATCGGGGTCAGTGGGGCTCTTGATATGGGTTTTATGGGGTAGGCTGTTGCTGCTATCGGCTTCTGTGATGGAGGTGTTTTATCGCCCCGTGGCCTCTCCTGTTTTCGTCTGATTGCGTCTTTATCTCTCTTGATCGTTACCCAGTCCCCTGGTCCTCTTATCTCTGTATGCTACTTGGCTGCTTCACCATTTGTATTTTCAAACTCTACGTGAGTACATTTTGGTATCCATATCAAGATAAACCGTTGGATTTTCGCCTTGATGTTCGGAAGCACCTGCGGCCACTCAGCGTATGCGCCCCGGGTTAGGATCACGTGGTGTGTGGGAAACCTTGCAAGAGCAAGCATGGGTGTGGTAGCTAGGCCAGGCGTAAAGTCCTCTCCTTGGGAATTTCTTCGTTCTTTAGTATATGTTTTTAATCTCTCGCTGCCCCCTTCCCCTAACTTTCTCTCTCTCTCTCTCTCTCTCTCTCTCTCTCTCTCTCTCTCTCTCTCTCTCTCTCTCTCTCTCTCTCTCTCTCTCTCTCTCTCTCTCTCTCTCTCTCTCTCTCTCTTCTCTCTCTCTCTCTCTCTCTCTCTCTCTCTTCTCTCTCTCTCTCTCTCTCTCTCTCTCTCTCTCTCTCTCTCTCTCTCTCTCTCTCTCTCTCTCTCTCTCTCTCTCTCTTCTCTCTTTCTCTCTCTCTCTCTTTCTCTCTCTCTCTCTTCTCTCTTTCTCTCTCTTTCTCTCTCTTCTCTCTCTCTCTCTCTCTCTCTCTCTCTCTCTCTCTCTCTCTCTCTCTCTCTCTCTCTCTCTCTCTCTCTCTCTCTCTCTCTCTCCCTTTTCCTCTCCCTCTCCCTCTCCCTCTCCCTCTCCCTCTCCCTCTCTCTCTCTCTCTCTCCCTCCCTTTCCCCTCCTACCAACCCTCCCCCCGTCTCTCTCTCTCTCTCTCTCTCTCTCTCTCTCTCTCTCTCTCTCTCTCTCTCTCTCTCTCTCTCTCTCTCTCTCTCTCTCGCTCTCTCTCCCTCTCCCTGTTGTCACGGAGATTTTTTGAAAGTGCGTTTGGTTGTCACAAATCGGACATGCGTAACCTGACGTGACAAGCTTATTATACAATTCTGGCCGTTAAAAAGTCTCCACTGCTGTGAATTATGCATGACGTAACCTATGCATCACTGAATGTTTGCCTCTCTATTGTAACACAACTGTCGTTCCGCTGGTCAGTCAAAGGACGCCACAATGTGCGCAGTACTGTGTCGTGTTTTAATTGTTTGTTCTTTGTGTTTTCGTGTTTATATTATTTTGCGAACTTTAGCAGGATTCGATTAGCATTTTGTTGTGTTGGGACGTATGATCTGGATTGGTGTAGTCACAGGCTATGGCAATGCACGTGTGGTAGGTATGGTTTGCAAAGAATATTAATTCAGATGCCTGGGTGCTCAAACTGTGATAATTGTACACCAATGAGGCTTTGTAATCTGAAGAGCAGGAAAAATTCGCATTTTCTATCTTTCTCCGAGCTTTGGAGTGTACGTATTATCGTTGTATAAGTAATCTATAGTGATATAAGTATCTTTCTGAATCTAACGATCCCTCATTCTCTGCCGTTATGACCCTCCTCGATTTCCTTTCATGTCTAATTTCCCTCCTTGAGTCTTCCCTTCGAACACTGCCACTTTTGCCTATTATTCCTCCCTCCTTCATTTCCATCTTCCCCTTCTCTTCTCACCCCTTTTCCCCTCTAGGCACCACTTTCCCCTCCTCGCCCCCCACACTCCACCCCTCTCTCCCTCTCTCATTCATCTCTTTGTATCACCTGCTTCTTCTCACAATTTTCCTCCTCCCCTACTGTGGCACCCTCATTTTTTTGCACTCGCCTTCCCTTTTTTTGTCACCGCTGTCTTCTGGTTTTCTTTTTTTCTTCTAAAGTCCCCTTTTTCCTCTCGGTCGCCAGTTTTTTTTCCTCCTTTGCATGGCCGATGCCCTCCCTTTCTCGATTTGTATTGTCTTCACACAGCCTTCCGCCCTGAGCTTTTTTTTGGTTTCGCATACCTCTTCATTTTATATGCTCCGTCTCCATTTTTTTGTCTTTGTTGTATCTTTCGGTTTTTATCACAATCTTTCAAACCCCCCCCCCCCTTCCTCATACTCCCATGCGCCTGCAGGTGTGAGGTGTCGCGGTGGCCCTTGTGCGCCGGGTATGAGGTGAGAGTGTACGATTCACCCTCATTCTGTTCTTCCTTTTCTCTCTAAACGCCTGATTCTGCCCCCCCCCCCATTCCCCTTATACTCTTATGCCGTGGCTAAGTGTCATAGAAACAGACAAAGTCGATTATTTTATCGCATTTGCATGAGAGCGATTTCAGGAGTGGAAGAAAAAATCTAAGGGAGAGACGCAACTGAAGACGGTCTCGGAATATAAGACAGGTGGTGGAGGTAGGGGGGGGGAGGTGGACCGGGTAAGGAAGTGTTGGACGAGGTGGGTGAAGAGATTGAAAGAGATTGAGGCGAATGCGCTGGTGATCTGCAGGCATGGTCGGTCCAGTACCTGAGTGTGGAGCGAAAAAGGCCTGTCCCCCTTCCCCTGCCCACCTCCCCCAGTCCCCTGCCCGCTCGCACCCCCCGGCATACCTCAGTCCCTCCCTCGCCCTCCCGAACCAGAGGTACCAGTTTGCCTTTTTTATCTTAAAAAATGCCCTTCTCCCCGCGTAATATTCATTCTAATTCTCGTGTCGCTGCTTTTCCTCGCTTCATTTCAAGGAGCAGCAGAGTCGTCGGCGAGTAGATCGTCTTCGTCGCCCGTGAAGGCCGAGCCACGACCCGCCTCCGCCGCTTGCATGACGAAGCCCCGCGCCGCGCAGGTGAAATAAATGCGCATCACATAGCTAGCCGTCAACCCGCGGCCCCGAGTCGAGTACTTCCAAACTCGCTATTTGAAATGAACCCGCAAGTCCCCCCCCCACCGCCCTGCCACCACTCCCCTCCCCACCTCTCCCTCTCCGTTCGACCTCTACCCCCTCTCCCTCGCCCGCTCTTCCCCCTCCCTTTATTCACCTAGCTCTTCCCTCCCCCATGTCCCCTCTCCCCCTCCACTATCTCAGGAATATCTTATGACATATCGTAACGAGCGAGGAGTGTCTTCTGCGTGCTCTGTTGTTCTCCTCTGCCCCGTGACTCGTTTCCTTCACTCTACGTGCGGCCGAGTCGGAAACTGTGTGATGAACCCGCGGGCGTGAGCAAGGGCAGGAGGAGAGGGGGGGGGGAGTGGGTTATTTCGCCGTCGGAAAGGTCTTCTTCTGTCTCTTTCTTCCTCTTCCTCCTCCCGCCCTTATTTTTTCTTTGTTCTTCTTTATCAGCTGCCTGTACTGCAATTTCGAATTTCGTCTGTCAGGATGTAGGAGGTGGGCAGGGGGAGGTCAATTCCTCAACGGTCGGGCGGAGGAGCTTCCGTTGCCTTCGAAGTCGCCGCCAAGAAGGACATGGGCACGTAGGCTCGATGGCGGGGCAGCAGTGGGTAGGGGAGGAGAGGGCAAGGAGGCGAAGTGGGAAGGAGGTGGGGAAGGGAGCATAGTCTGAGAAAAATACCACCGGTTGCATAGGCTCGTTGTTGCCACAGTCCTGAGGTTTTGTTTACTCCGCTCGCCGGGCTAATGAGAGCGAAGGATGTTGGGCGCTCGGGATGTGACGACGGCGCTCGCTCAGGGCCCTGGTGGCCGGTGCTGGTCAAGCCCTGCGTCCCGGGCAGAGGAGGGGGGAAGGGGAGAAGAGGGAGGGCGAATAGAAGGCGAAAGGAAAACGATGAAGGCTAAAAAATGAGAAGAATGATCAATGGGGTGTGCGGGAGGAGAGCGAGGGTGCAGGAACCACCTGGGGAGTGTGGATGTGTCCCCCTCTCCTCCTCCTCCCCTCCTCCTCCCCTCCCCATTCTCCCCGCTTGCACGTCGTAGGACTTCGTCAGGCTAGGGCGCGAGTCAAGGTGATGTCCGGCAGCTGCCAGGGTCCTGCAGGAAGAGTGGGGGAGGTTGGTTTGTGTGAGTGAGACAATATAAAAACGTTGTAGTTGGTAACGTTGGTCGGTGGGTTGAGGACCCTGGTGGTGGGTGGGGCGGTGGGGGGTAGACAGGAGGGATGGGGGGTACGGAGCGCGGAGTGAGTCAGTGTGTGTTGTGCGTGTGACGGGAGAGTGTGTTGCCGCGCCTCTCTCTCTCCCTCTCTCTATCCTTCCCTCCTATCTTTGTGTGTATGGAGTTCTCGCGCCCTGGGAATTACTAAGGACTTCATCTCCACGACCAGCAGCATTCTGCCTTCCCGTGGCAGAGTGACGGAGGTCCTTGTGGAGCGCCTGTCTTGTCGTGCAGGAGAGGCGGGCAGGTCGTGTGCGAGGCATGAAGGAGCAGCAGCGTGGTTGGTGGCGCGGTTACAGCCTCTAGTTGTTAGCTTGTATGGTGCGTCTTAGGCTGGACGGCTGCCTGACAGGTCCTCTTGCCTCCTGGCCTCCGTGGCTTCCTCGCTGGTCTAAGAAGGCATTCTCAGACCACGCCGAAGGGGCCTCTCCCGCTCTCTAGTGTTGTCGTAGGCCTATCCATGAGAGCCTGTTTACCTGTGCGCCGTCTCGTGTGAGAGCGAGACCCTCTGGAAAAGAAAGCAATATAATCCGAGCTTAAAAAGTCCGAGACCTGGCCCGTGCATTGGCCTGAGGTCATCGAGTGAGGACGGTGAGCGATACCGGGAAAGTTGTCAGTGAGTGTTGCGTAGTGTCGGTGTTGTTATTATTGTTGTGATCCGAGTGTGGCGTGGCGCCAGATCCGAGGTGGGACGGCGGCGCTGGATGAGTGGTGAGCCGTGTTGCAATATGGAGGTCGCCACAATGGTCACGTAAAGTGGAGGCAGCTCAGCAAGTGTTGGATGTGGGGAGACCAGCAGCGTGTGGTGGGTCCCCAGCAGGTCGGTGGAGGTCAGTGTTCACACCATCACCTCCTCCATCAGCACCAGCACCTTCCCCCACACCACCATCACCACCACCTGCACATCTCCCCTAAACACCATGACGACGGAGGTGCTTGGCCACTAGCCCCCTCCTCCTCCACCTCCTCCACACCTTCCACTTCCTCCTCCGCCATCTCCTACACTTCCCCGCCCTCCTGCTCGCCGCCAGGAGAGTCCTACGCCAATTGGATGGCCGAGGCGCTGGCCACCTGCACCAGCTACACCAGCACCTCTTCCCCTTCCTCCTCCTCCGTCAACAACTACTCCTCATACACCTCCACCTCCTCCTCCTCCTTCTCCACCAGCGCCACCCTAACGTCCCCCACCACGCCCACCTCCAGCATTGCCTCCCCAGTGACCACCTCCACGTCGCCCTCCATCGCCGCCATGTCCCTCAAGATGAACAGCGTGTATATAGACACGTCCCCCTCCAGGACCTCGAAGCCGCCTCCCACGGTCAGGTCGCACTCCCTCGACCAGCTCAATTTCGAGGAGAAGCGGCAGCTCATAGCCTCCACGCTGAGCTTGAGCGACCTCCTCGGAGGCGGGCCGCAGAAGGGGAAGCTCAAGTCTGAGGTAGAGACTCCTTCGGAAACCTCGGCGACCCCGGGTGCCAACACGCCGACGTCGGGCACTAACTCTATCGTGACCAAGTCCACGTCGCTCTCGCTCTCCGACATCATCAACGCCACCAAAAGCAACAAAGGTATGGTCCGCTCCTGGCACCTGCGGCCTGTGCGAATTTAGCGACAGGTCGGGTGATCGGGTTGGAATTATATAGAAAAATCGTTAAGATGATTGTAGGGAAATGGGAAGGAGAATGCCCTACACCAAATGCATGCGAGCGAGAGAAATGAACGAAAGAGTAAGAGACACAAGGTAACAAGTCCGGCTTTATGGAATTTGGTTAATTATGTGTGGTGGTGGCATTGCTAGCGTTACTCGGATGATGTCAGAGGGGGGCGGGAGGGGTTCTCGTCTGCAGTTATGAAGTGAAGACCAGCGAGGAGCTTGTACTCCGGTTAATATTTTATAATATTGGGCAACTTTGGCCAGGTAGTCCGTTGGGATCCAGGTGTGTTTTTGAGAATGCACTGTGGTTGCTAAGTCTGCTGAAGGATTATATTCGTCGTGGAGGCAATACGTGAGAGTAATATGCAAATCTAAATCATCCGACAACATTATTTAACTGTAAAAGTGTTCTCACGAAGGTGCGGTGGGGCCTCGTAGCCTCTGACCCGCCCGTGTCGCGCTCCACGTTCTCTGGAAACGGTCCAGGGAGGTGCGCGGGTATTCTCATCCGTCCTGCTGGCTTGGTTGGCATTCCGATGGGGTGCTAGCCTTTATCCTTTAGCTCCATCCAACCTAGGAACTATAACTTCGTGGGAGTCATGTGGACATTGATCTATATATCTTGGTTTCACAGCTCTATAATGTTTCGCCAGTTGTTCCAGTACTATTGTACTATTTTAAGTATTCGTGACTGTTGGTCTGCGACTCAATTATCGTGTAATATCGAACAAGTTGCATAACATAACGGCACCGCCCTTTCTGTGTGTGCTGTGGTTAATGCAATCGGCGTTGTGGGTGTTGTCACATTACTCCGTTGACCAGCCTGTGCAAGTTTCAAGGTCACTCGTTTTGCGTGCGTGTGGATGTTGTATGTGAATGGTGGAGGTGCGATCGCATGTGTGTATGTGTATGTGTATATGTGTGTGAATGTATACGCGAATCGGTGTTTGTTTTAGGAGTGTCTCTTTGTTGTTGTTGGCGGCCATATTGTCGGTTTTGATGACTTTGTGTTTCGCTCGTTACTCTGCAGCGTCCAAAGGGGTCCCTTCTGCATTTCCCAGGGTCGTGCCCTTCCTGTATATATGAACAGCTGAGTTGCATGTTACATGTTCGGATTCCTCAGCGCTGAATTTTACTGAATTGTGAGGTTGGTAATAGTGATGACTACTACTATTCATTATTTTTTTCTATTCCATTTATTTTTTGTGCAACATGAAGGGGATTTGTTAATTGTTGGGGCAGTGTTGCGGTAGTAGCCCATATTATTATTCCTGTGGATCACATGTAAAAAAAAAAAAAAAAAAAAAAAAAAAAAAAAAAACGCTAGTAGGTTATATCTAGAAGCTGCATCGGGAAGTTATGTAACGCCGCTGTTGAAAGAGTGAAAATAGTTATTACACGTTCAGTAACCCCTTTGTGTTCGCTTTTCAAATGTTTATCTGTGCATGCCTTTCATATGCTGATTGCATCTAGATATCGATGCATTATTATTGTGACTGGTGCTCTTGTTTTTGTTATTTTCCTTTTATCTGATCGCAATCCTTCTTTCGGAAACGGCTAAGAAACAAGAAGAGGAAAGGGGTAGAAATAATAGCTTCAAGAAAAAAAAATACAATTTACGTAATAAGCAGGTATACCACGGGCTATGTCAAAGTAATAATGTATTAGACAAGTGGCCGGCAAGTTAATAATAAAAAAATGAAGAGAGATAGCGAACTTCAACACAATTTATACTGATAACGTAAAAAGACGATAAGAGGGTCCATACTGGGCAAAAATAGAATAATAACAGCGATGAGAAAGTGGCTCAGGAATTCGGCCTGGTCGCGATCATTGACGATAGCAGGACATGGCCGCCAGCGCTCGATCATACAGATGGCACTTCGATTGATAAATTGTGTTTTAAGCTGCGTCGATTGTGTTGCCTCGTTCTAATGGACCCTGTGTTGCTGCAAGATACTTTATTGCATTTGTACTGCACGGAGAGCGGCACTCGGCTCTGTTGGATTGTTCTTGGGGACGTCGAGGTCTGGTGATGTGGATGTTTTTATGTATGTAAGCTATGTATTTTTTTTAATGACATAGGTGTGTGTAATTCGTAGGGGCAACTGGTCGTGTGCTGTGTTGCGTTGTGTTTTGTGTGTGCTGTGTTATGTTGTGTTTTGTGTGTGCTGTGTTTTATGTGTGCTGTGTTATATTGTTTTGTGTGTGTGCTGTGTTTTGTGTGTGTGTGTATGTGTGTATGTGTGTGTGTGTGTGTGTGTGTGTGTGTGTGTGTGTGTGTGTGTGTGTCGGTGTCTCGGTGTCTCGGTGTGTTTGCGCGTGTAGAGTGACTCTCGGGCCGTTGATATTCTCTTCACGGCGATGATAATACACTGATGCAAGTTATCTGATTGTGTTTGTGGACCCTGTGTGTATGTGTGCTTCTGCTGTGCCCGGCCTCTGCGAACACAGCATCCCAGATTAAAGATAATATACCACATTGTGTACCCCAGATGTGTCCTCATTCCCCTCGCATTCCTCCTGCCATTTCTTCTAATTCTTCTAATTATTTTTCTTCCTCGTCTTCCTTCTCTCATGCCTTAGTTTCACCATAGTTCTTGTCTCTTGCTTTCCCTTTCTTCGGTTTCGTGCGCGAGGAGCCTTTTTTTTTTCCTTCTCTGGTTCTTTTTTTTTTGTGTCCTTATTCTCATTCGTCATCATCATTCTTGAGCAAGTCATCACCGTATTAAGCGACTTGGTCACGTTTTGTTTTCATCTCTCATCTGTCTGTCTGTCTGTTTCTTTCTCTCTCTCTCTCTCTCTCTCTCTCTCTCTCTCTCTCTCTCTCTCTCTCTCTCTCTCTCTCTCTCTCTCTCTCTCTCTCTCTCTCTCTCTCTCTCTCTCTCTCTCTCCTTTGCCCTCTCACTCTCCTTGGTTAAGAGGTATCACGTGTATGGGAAATGACGAGTAGAATAAATGAAAGAGTAAAATAAGGAAGGAATGAAGTGGAAGGAGGAGGGAGGGAGGCAAGAGGCGAAGACGAAAGAAAAGGAGACAGAAGGAGAGCCGAAATGCGCCACCGGTTTATAATATGATATGGTGGTAGCAGGAGCGGGTGTTGTGCGGGGTCGAGGGGGGGGGGGTCAGACATTCCAGAGTATCCCTTCCCCCTTTGGCCCGCGCAGCTGACCTTGAACGGTGTTACTGCTGCAAGGTCGGTTGGAGCGGCTTTTGGGGCAAGGGATGTGTTAGGTCTATCTATGTACAATCTATCTATATATATATCTATCCATCAATCTGCCTGTCTGTCTGTTCATCCCTCTATCCATCCATTTATCCATATATCTTTTTTATCCATATGTCTGCCTGTTTATGTGTACATATTTTTTGTGTGTAAAAGGTAGAAGGAAACCAGGGAGGGAGAGAGAGAGAGAGAGAGAGAGAGAGAGAGAGAGAGAGAGAGAGAGAGAGAGAGAGAGAGAGAGAGAGAGAGAGAGAGAGAGAGACTGACTCTGATTAACTCACTGCTCATCAATCCTTCCTTTCCGCTGCCCTTGCCCTCCACCCCCCCCCCTTCTTTCTCCCCTCTCTCGCTCCCCTTGCGCTGTATACCTTTGATGTTGGCGAAAGGGAGAAGGGGAGAAGCAAAGAAAGCCCGTGGTGTTTCCTGTTGAAATCTTGTTATATTGAATCTTCCAGTGTTCCCTCGCATGGCCCTCGTGTCTTTCTTCATTTCTTCCTTGCTTTTTCCTCCTCGCCTTCCTTCTCTTTCTTTTATTTCTTCCCCTCCTCCTTCGTCTCTTTCCCCATCTTTTTCTCCTCCTCCCCCTTCTTCTCCTTTCCCCTTCATCTTCTCCTCCTTCATCTTCTTCACCTCCTCCTCTGTCTTCTTCTTCTTCTCCTCCTCCGTCTTCTCCTTCTCTTCCGTCTTCTCCTCCTTCCTCTCCTTCTTCTTCTTCCTCCTCCTCCTCCTCCTCCTCCTCCTCCTCCTCCTCCTCCTCCTCCTCCTCCTCCTCCTCCTCCTCCTCCTCCTCCTCCCCCTCCATCCCTCCCTTCCCCTCCTCCTGCTGCTACTCTTAATTACCATTTTCCTCGTATTCTTCCCTCCCTCGTTAGAACGTTACAACTCTTTCCGGTATCTTCCAAATCCCTTGACCACACATCCTTTCTCCCCCCCCCCCTTTCTGTGTATGTATGTATGTATGTATGTGTATATATTTGTATGTATACATTCATGGAAGTATATATGTATACATTCATGGATGTATATATGTATACATTCATATACATACACACATCTCAACGCAACTTTTTTTTTTATCCCGCAACAGAATAATGTTTATCAATGGATACCTTTTTGCCTTTGCCTTTTGAGAACTTAAAAGTGTATTTCCTATTTCCCGCCTTTTTTTTCCCTCGCGCGATGAACCGGACGCCGCGTCGTAATCGGCTGGACCGGAAGAGACGCGCGTTGACCGAGACGGAAAACACTGATACTTAGGACACCTTCCTTGACCTTTGACCTTCTGAAGAGGACGCGAGGTACAGAGGCACTGGCACCGCCACTGACTCGGTTTCCCTTTAATTATTAGTTGGCCGGCCGATGCCACGAGGATCTCCCCTTCCTCCCTCCTCGTCCGTTTGTTACCCTTTCGTTCTGCTCTCTCTCTCTCTCTCTCTTTCTCTTCTCTCTCTCTCTCTCTCTCTCTCTCTCTCTCTCTCTCTCTCTCTCTCTCTCTCTCTCTCTCTCTCTCTCTCTCTCTCTCTCTCTCTCTCTCTCTCTCTCTCTCTCCCTCCCCCTCCCCCCCTTTTCTCTCTCTCTGTCTCTGTCTGTCTTTCTTTCTCTGTCTGTCTTTCTTTCTCTGTCTGTCTTTCTTTCTCTGTCTGTCTTTCTTTCTCTGTCTGTCTTTCTTTCTCTGTCTGTCTTTCTTT